GTTTTTTTCACTTCACATTTTAGTGTTCATCTGTGTTGTAAGGTATACCAGAACTTACCTTCTTTTTATGAATGACTTCTCATTGTTTACGCCACATTTTGTTGATCTACTCATTGTTGGACATGAGTTATGTATTAGTCCATTCTAAGCTGCTATAACAAAATAGCCAAGGCAAGCTGCTTATAAGAGAAAAACGAACTTAGCTCAAAGTTTTAGATATTTAACATCAAAGTGCCAGCACCTACTATGCTCTGTTAAGGGGCCTCCTAGCAGCATAACATAGCAGAGAAATAGAAAGGGAACTGGACCCATGCAGAAAAGACCGCGCATGTGGGGTAGGTTTGTTTTCATAACAACATATGCATGAAAAGTAGCTTACTTAAGAAGACCAGCTTAATCTCTTTAGGGGGAAGGGCTATAGTGATCTACCCCCCTACCATCACCACCAAAGGTTATTTCATCTTATACCTGGGACCAAGCTCACAGTATATGAAATGTAGGGGACAAGACCTAATCAACAGAAATTTGTCTCAACTTCTTGGTTCTTGTGAAAAATGTTGCTGTGAACACTGATATACAAGTATCTGAGTTCTTGTTTTCAAATCATTCAGAAGTTTATGTAGGAATTAAACAGAGGTAATTCTGTGTAACATTTTTAGAAAAAAACAAAATTTCATAACAAAATAATAGAATAACAACAGTCAATACATTGAGTATTATTAGCTTTAAAGTAGTTAATTGGTGTACAAGACATGGGCATAAAATATTCTCCAAACGATACTAGCACAAACCTTTCATTTCACTGAACTAAATTAGTAGTATCAACTATCTTGTATTTTGTTTTTTTTCCCCTTCCTTCCTTTTTCCTTTCCCACATTCAAATTCCTTTTTCCTTTTGAACAATTTCTAACTTTTAAGGAATTACCAAACATGTTTTCAAAATAGCTGCAGTACTTCACACACCAACCAAGGAGAGGAGTTTCAATTTTTCCACACCTCAGCCAATGCTACATTTCTGTCCTGTGATAATAACCATCTTGGTAGCTGTCAAATGGTATCACACTGTGGCTACTGACTACGGGTAGTAAGCATTTTTTCATTTGTATTTCAATTCTACCCCTTCTCTAGAGAAATAATTGCTCAAGTCCTTTGTCCATTTTTAAGTTCTGTCTTCCTGTTTCTGAGTTGTACAGTTTCTTTTTGCTTGTTTATTTTTCTTCTTCTGACACAGGTCTCACTTAGCAGTTCAGCTTGCCAATGAACCAACTCCATCGCCCAGACTGGCTTCAGCTCAGTGGCAATGCTCCTGTCAGCCTGCAAGCTGCTGGGACTTCCAGGCATATACCACTACATTGACCAAGTTTTACACAGGCTAGACAGGCACCCAATACCCTGTCAGTGGATAACTTGCAAGTATTTCCCTCATTCTGTGGACTACCACCCTTGGAACAGTATCTTTTGATACACCAAAGCTTTTTATTTCAACAAATCTAATTTTATCTTTTGTTATTATTTCCTGTGTCGCTGGTGTCATAATGAGGACTCCACTGACAAATTTGAAGTCTTGAAGATTTGCCCTTATGTATTCTACTCAGAACTTTATACTCTGGACTCTAAATTTAGGATATTTTCTATTTAGATATAATTTTTTGTTAAAGGTATAAAGTAAGGGCTCATTGTCACTCATTTCCACGTTGGTTATCCAGTTTTCTAAGTATTACTATATTTGTTAAAGCTTACCTTTTTAATAATTAGAATGCTATAAATGATATACTGTCATCTTTATTCTTGTTTTTTTTTTTACAAATCCAGGCTGGCCTCAACTTATGGTGCTCCTCCTGTCTCAGCCTCCTTAGTGCTATTTATATAGATGTGCGCCACCACGCCCACTTACCACAGTAATTTAAAACTGGCAATTCTCAAATTGTGGTTTACTCATTTCAGTACCTTAGAAAGCATCCTTGTTTTAATTTTTAAATGTTTTAATCCTACTTCAAAAGTAACAAATGTTCAATTATTGAATTTGAGTAAGGAAAACAAAAAGAGAATAAAAACTAATATTAAAAGAAAGTCATTGATAACACTTCGGTCTCTAAAATTTTTTTGTTTTGTTTTGTTTTGGTTTGGTTTTATGGTCCTTTTTCTTCCTAAATTAGGTTTGCAGTATTTTTACTTATGTCAAGTATTCTATAACTTTTAGTGGTTACACAGTATACCACATCTGGAGGGACGATAATCTTTATTTAATCAAATATGTTTAAGGATTTAATGTTCAAAAAGTTTACTATCTAATGGCAGTGCATTATCCACAAAAGGCTATTCATACTTAAATTAATTAAAAGTAAATAATGCTAAAAATGTAGTTCCCAAGGCATACTAGAAACCTTTAAAGCACTCAATAACTTACATGGCCAGTGACTACTCTATGGACGACTGACACAAAAAATTTTACCCATTGTAGAAATTTCTGTTGGCCAAGAACTGCTTAGAATATTTTCAAGTTATCTATATTATAAATAACTCTTGAACTAATAAACTGCAGGAAATTAGTTCGTAGTTTAATAGGTACACAAGTGTTCACACTCTGAAGCATGAAGTACAAGGAAACGTCCATTTTCCTTGCCAATTTAAAAACCAATCATGTCCCTCTTTCAAACTTGCATGGCCCAGTTGTGAACACAGCAAAATGGGAAAGGGGTACAGAAGTATAGTTCACATAGCTGCTACAAATGTACCACTCACTGTAAATACTTTAGTGGGAGCAGAAGTCTTTACAGGAACTGATGTCACATTACACTGCCTCCAAGTACCATTGATTTTCATTAACATCACCATTACGGCCAAACACAAGTATCTGTTGATGGCCCACTTATGTTTTGTGTTTTTTTTGGGTTTTTTTTTGTCTTTTTCATTTTTATCGGTACCAGGGATCGAACTCATGACTGCCTGCTTGCAAGCCAGGCGTTTATGCCGCTGAGCTAAATCCCCAGCCCCCTTATGTTTTGTTTTTAATTAACCTTTCTTAATCCACTTTTTAAAAAATCTGGAGTAATCAATCTATTACAGTCTCACAAGAGGTTTTGTTTCTCTTCTTGTTTGCTTTTTAAAAGACAAGGTCTTGCTGTATTGTTTAAGCTATCCTTGTGGCAATCCTCCTGACTCAGCCTCCCTAAGTATTGGGATTACCAAAGTGTACCACACCTGGCTAAGAGGCCTTGGTACAAAAGAATATAAATATTTTTTCCAAGCATGTTCAAATATACGTCCTTAGTTGTAACTTGTCTTTATGAAATATATATAAAGTTATTTTTACTTTAAAAACTGATATAATTTATGTTTCTGCTCGACATGACACACTTAGAAAAGGCTTTCCTAATTTAATATGAAGCTATCATTAATTAGTGAGTGCAGCCCTTTAAGCTGTCACACAATATCTTAGGAAAGTAAATAAATATACATGAAAAAAAAAACTTTTCTGAGACAGGTTATTAATGTATATATTTCAATATGTTTAGTGTTTTTATTATTTCATGTTGTACACTTAAGTATGTATGTTATATAAAATATATAATGGCTATAGGATAGGGCAAAAACTAAATATAATGTCCTCCAGTGTTAGAATATTTCCAAACCTTAAAACAACTCTAAGGAGTTAAAAATTTATAATAGAATCTACACCAACTGGATATCAACTCACACATGAAATAAGCAAACTGCATTTTTTACATTTTAGAAATATAGCTTTCTGGATTTTTGTGCCTTTTTAGAAAATATTTCCATTTAGTCTAGACATTAACTTTTTACTTGTATTTTCTTCAAATTAAGACAAAAATGACCTACATGTTTTAAAGAATTTCAGGAAAAAAGAAAAGTACATACAATGTACTGAAAGACAGATCTATCCTATGAAGATACAACTGTATGGACCACTCTGCTGGTCTTTCATGAAATGAAAGGTAATTTCCCAAAAATGATGTAAGCAACAATTTCATGACACCTGTTTCTCACCATTCTTGGTAGTCACACTGGCATGTCCCCACCCGCACTGGCAGGTTTAGCAGTGTTTTCAATACATAAAATTTAATACTTGTTTCTTCTACTTACTATTTCACTATGACTTTCTTAGCCCAAAAATAACTCAAATAGGTTTTACTGGGGGCAAGATTGCGACTTATCTTCTAGCTTTCCCACATTTTAAACAAAAAGTACTGGTAAAGTCATAATTAATAAAATTCTCTAAGTTCCATATTTCCCAATGAACTATCATTAGTATTATTTTTTAAAAATCAATTCTCTCAAAGATAAATCTAAAGCTTTAATAATAAAAATTAGTTTTTCCCCCAAACAAAATGCCTTCTTGTCAGGAAGAGGAATCACTTCTACTGCAGTTTCACATTAATGACTGGTGTGCTCCTCTCCAACATTTATCACCTTTTATTCTAACTACTGATAAGTATGCCTGCCTATCCTACTCTGGGAGCTCTCTAATTCAGGTCAAGCCATATATATATTTCCTAAATCTGTTTTATCCAAGTTTATATGGAGCCTGGTAAATAATGGCAGTCACAATGCCTTCTTCATGAATGACTAACCATAGGTTGGCCAAGAGCAGTTACCCACTACTTTCCTAGTAATTTAACACAACAATTTGTGTTTCAGACTCTTCCTATACATATCCGTCCTACAGAGTGTTCTTATTTACTAGAAGATATGATGAATTAATAAGTATAACCTTTTAAACTGCCACAGTGTATTTCAGCAAAATAAATGAACATACATTAAAGAAAATATTCTTGAGACAGGTTATTAGTGTTTGCATTTTATGAGTAAAATACTGAAGTTACAAGAGATTAGAAACGCCAAAGGTAACAGCACTTAGTAGATCAGAGTTTGACATGAACTAATAAGGATTTTATAATTTCACAGCTTACCTTTCAGTATAACACCGTTTTCCGGTAAACAACCTTTTAATAAAGCATCAATGTACTAGAAATACTTACATTGACCCCAGCGCCCAGTTCTTGGGTTCAAATAATTTGGATAAAGACCATTTGGACGATCCATTTTCTGAAGTAGTTTCCGAATATGCATGACCTCCACAAAATAAAGTTAAGAACCAATTAACAAAAAGAAATGTCACCAAAGCTTTTAGTTTTTGTTTTGTATTTTTCCTGAGAACCTATATCCAACCCCTTTCCCTTTGGTGTATGGTGGTTATGAAAGGCTTCTATTTCTCAAATGAGTCATTATTTAAGTAAAATAATATATGGTCATTATTTAAAAATTAAACAATATAGGTCTTCAAAACCAGACAATAGGAAAATTGACAATGGCTACCATAAAGTCTCTTGTTCTCTTCAAAATAGCTGTCCATACCTTCATGTATGTTGAAATTAAACAATACAAAATAGACCAAAACTACTCTGGACAAAGAATAGAAGCATTACTGGATTTCATAGCATGACGATATGGAATCAGCAATGAATACTATAATGTCATTGTGTGTGACGGACAACTATTTAGAAGAAAACAGGAGACATATGGTAGCCACTGTTGATAAGTTGTCTTGCTTTGAAATCTGTGTCACTTACATTGTATTCTTTTGATCTGCTTTGTTCTGTTTTGTTATGTTTACTTTTACCCTCTTTAAAATAAGAAATAAAAAAAATTAATGTACACATACAAAAAGTAAAATCAAACTGTTAACTTTATATATTGTCCCCTTAAGACATATTCCTAAATTTATAAAAGATCTCCCTAAGGTTTAAAAGGGGGGAAAAAAATACAAAAGAAGAGGCTAGAGACTTTCCCAGGAATTCTTTTGGATTTATCTCTAGACTGGCTGACTTTTTAAGTGCTCTGGGATGTGAGCGTGTGGTGTTTAGGTAATATAGCAATAGGTGTCCTACTTTTTGTATGCTTTTTAAAATTTGTTTGAAAGTGTTATCTTTATATTTGGTGGGTAACTTGGCAGGCATAAGGGACTTATAAAAGCACCTTCTTTCTTATAGGACCTTACACATTCTTCACTTTTCTGGACTTAAGCCCAACACAAATCCCTTTACCATAAGGTTGCCTATCATCTTTCATTTGCCTAGATTTTGCTATCACAGAATTTTATAAGTTGGTTCAGAAATGCTATCTATATTCCCTGTGTTCTATAGTATCTGAGATCTGTATTATGTACAACACGTTAAATTTGGGTAATTGCATGAATGAGTTTTAGAAAGTTGTAAATGTTATTTAAAAAGAGAGAACTATCACTTTTTGTCATCTAAAAGTATATATAATACTAAATTCTGTTTCTCTTGTATCATTTCCTGTATCACATCTAACTAGCGTTTCTCAATTTGGTCTTCTAAGTCCTTTACTATCTGCAAACTATCGTTCTTTGTATTGTCCCTATTTGGGCCCTTATATTTTTTCCTTATGCTTTGTTTCTGACAGCACATTCTACTATCTTTGAACACTGGTCTCTCTGTTGTACAAACATGAGGGTTTATGTTGTCTCATACAGTGATGTTTGGTCAGGATTTTCTGATGGCTATTTTCAGTTTCCTTCCACCCATTTTTTTTCCAGATAAATCTTCGTATAAACTATGTACTTGTTCTTTTTTTCAATAAACTGCTCATTACTGTTTTTCTTGACCAAGCTATTCAGAAGAAAGTTTCCATATACTGTAAAAGACCGGTACAATCCAGATGTAAATGTGTTTTTTAGCTTCTGCTTTTCTCCAGTCAGATGAGACTGGTTGGACTGAGAATCTACCATTCATTCCTTTTCTTCATTCTATAGGCACAAATACAACTTGACTCTGAGATTTTTCATTCAATTGTCATTTGTCTACTTCTCAGAACTACTTCTAGTCCAAAGAGATACAATCAGCCTGTGGTTTTACTCTTTATTTATGAAGGTTCTCTTCAACATTACTTAATGAAATTCTGAACTTTGCATGGGTCTCATTTCTTTGTGGGAACTTACACTTCTGTTTCTACCACACCAGGTAGAGTTAAACTTTTATAAAATGATACTTTCTTGCCTTTCACACCTGTTGGAGAGAAATGCTGATTTTTAACATCTATATTGATCTTTTGTGCAAAAGTATTTTCTCAAGTAAATGTAGATAGTTAGGACTGGGATACAGCTCAGTAACAGAGTACATGTTTTTAGCATATGCAAGGCCTAGGTGCAATCCTCAGCACGAAAAGTAATTTTTAAGTACACTGTCCTAATGTATTAGTTAAAAAATCATATCATCTGTGAATAATTGGTATCTCCCTTCTTCCTTTTTAATTCTTAAACCTTTTGTTCATTTTTCTTTTCGTGTCTTACCAAGCTCATTAGGAATTTCAGCTCAATGCTGAATAGAAATGAAAACAGAATTTTTAAGAAATGTGATAGTGATTATAATCTCTCAAAGAATAATAGTTATTTTAAATATGTTGTAATTGAACAGATAATTTAAAAGGAAAAAAATAAGGGCCAGAATAATATTTTACTATTATAAATATTTTACTATTAAGCAAGTCTTTGGGAAAACTTTACAGGCAGACACACACACACACACACACACACACACACACACACACACACGGACTGACCTTTTTGTAGTAAACCAAGTCCCCTGTCAGGTAGCTGAGGTGGACAAACTCCATATGCAGCGTACCAAATTCAGCCAGAATGCTGCTGCCTGCAGATGCCCAGCCCCAGTTTCGACCTACTCCACTGAATGAAGGAAAAGAGGAAACAGGATTTGGAAAATAATCTTTTTAAATGTTTAATGAATATGTAAACTTTAAATCTCTTAAAAAGTATTATATCCAACGTAACAGTTTATGTTTAAAATTTCGATTAATAAAAACATGAACAGGTAATACTTTCACGCTTTAAAAGTAAAGACAATATTTTTAAAAGTACGATACGTATTAAGTGCACTTCAGCCATTCTCATCAGCTCCCTTCACACCAGGAGGCTCCACAATCACTTCCATTAGTTTCTAACATACTACTCCACAAGTTTTTTTTATACATAAGCAATCCAAATACATATGATTATTTTTCTCCGTTCTTAAATAAAACTAAACTAATTGTGTTTAGCATTTTACTCTTGTGATACACATCAGGAGCATTTACAAAAATACTTTGTCATTTTTGGTTTTGTCTCTTTTATAGTTGCATAGAATTCCATGATACCAATGTTTCTCACCTGGAATGCCCCATCCCAGGGGCACATGAAAATGTGTGAGGATATATACAGTACCTTGTCTCAAAATCTGCATTGATTATATCACACCCAAAGCTATAAAAGTCTATAATGTTCAAAACAGTATCAAATTAATAAAGAACTGTTCTGTCCCAAAGACTGGTAATGCCTAATGCAAAACTTACATTTTACAAACAGATATAACTTACTTAATCGACCCTCTACTTAATGGGCCCTTACGGTATTTCTAATGTTTTGTCATTATGAAATTTAATAAATAAGTTGTGCACATCAATGTCATTTGTATAGATATGATCTCCATGATATGTTTCTAGTTTTTTTTAGCCTGCTCTATAATTTTTTATTTGAAGTATTACTCTATAAAATAAAAAAACTGGGAGGTATTAAATGATGTTGTCATGCCTCTGTGGCAAGTCTATAGACAGAGCTTAGAGGAAGTTGCCAAATTTTTGATTCCATCATTAACAAAACCTGGTCCAGCTCCTATTGTAAACATGTCTGTTGGTGGCTCATTCTGTCTCTGGAGGAATTCTCTATCACAACTCTTCAAGGGAAAGGTAAAGACTAAATGTAGTTCCTGGCAGTTAGGCCAGAACGTTGGATGATAAGTAATTTGGTGGGAAGGGTTAAAGTTCTGCCTTATGTGAACGAAAAAAATAAAAATAAAAAAATGACATTTTCTTTTAAGAAAGTTAAAGTTCTCCAGAGTCACTAATCGATACAGGCAGATTACCTTGGTTTCAGGCTTTGCATTTCAGATTTACCTTACTATTGAATAATGACACTCTAGGACCTCAGTTGAAAGTCAGATAGTTTATGACAAGGTGCCTTCACTTTGGCAGACTTAACCAAGTTTCTGGTCTCCTCAGTACAAAGTGGCTGTTAAATTGTATCCTTGGCACTTCAGGCTCCTTCTCCAGTTATCTGTTGCATATAAGTTTTATCTCATCCGTACACAGTAGCTGCTGAATTACCAATGACTTCAGGGAAATTTGTGCCTAAGTGTTTGGGGCTCTTCTCCGTAATTTCCTCTTGCCCCGTAATTTCCTCTTGCCCAAGGTTTTGTCCTTCATATCTTGAGTTCTTTTAGTAATCCCAACATCTGACCTTTTGGCTTCTGTATCCCAAAAGACTGGCTTCTACTTCTCTACACCACAATCTAGAACATGCCCACAGAGAAAAAGCCAAAGTTTATGTGGAGGCAACCTGAACACCACAACCGCTAAGGTCCTAAATAAGGTGCTCTCTAAAGCTTTCAAACTATTTTTGTTTGTCTAGTTTTTATGACTGCTTTAGGTAGGAAGGCAGTGTGATAAAAGCTATTAAAGATGGAAACCTAGAATTCTACAGAGTGGAATTCATGGGTAATTCTGGATAGCTAAATCATTCTCTAGGTCTTTTCTTGCTTTTGAAAGAAACTAAAGTCTATAGCCATAGCACCCTGAACATGCCTGATAATCTCTGGAAGAAAGTAAAAATATAATTCTTTTTTCTCACAGCCATTTGCATGCTGCCAATTTAATATGCTGTATTTTAGTGACCTGTGTTGAGAAAACATTAAAATTGTTATCAAGACATATCATCTCCTTGTTTAAAACCCCTTAGTTGCTATTTTTACACTGTCTTTGAAATAATGGAAGGCAAATACCACTAGCCGTTTTTTAAATAGCTAGAAGACAGAATCAAAGAAGAAATATTGATTTATTAACTAAGTTATCCATGTCACAAATAATAATACCGTGCTATGGGAAAAACATTGATAAATCCAACATACAATATTTCTGTCTCATAATAAAGCCCATTTAAATACTGATTATTGTGATGAAAAAAATTAAATAGGGAAATAGAAAACTGAACTACATTCAACTAGCTATGGGAAGATGATAAAATACCAAAAAGCAAACAAATTATAATTTCTGCTACAAATGTAATTTTTCAATTGATCAAAATAAAAGATATAGATATTTAAACATACGTGATTATATACATACAGAGAACCTGAATAACGAAAAATTTGCAATAAATACCAATAAATAAAACAAACAGGCAAAAAACCATGATTTGTCTCTTGGCTGACCATCAGCAATCAGGTTTTTTTGATGTCTGATAAACTCTTAATGCTGTACAAGGTATATCAACCTAAGTGTTCTACAATCATATTAAATAAGTTTGAAAATGAACCATCACAAAACAAGCAAAAAACAAAATTTATTTTTTGTTAATCAACAATTTTAGAAACATGGTAAACTTTTGTTGGCTTACAGTTTTTAGCCAGATAAGGTTGTGATGAACCTTATTTTCATTTCTCTTGGGCATATAAATACTTCAGTAGCATAATTTCTGGGTCGTATACTAAATCTATTTTAATTTTATAAGAATAATTGTTTTTCTAAAGTGGCTATATATTATACCAACACATGTTTATCATAATGTTTCTTCTCACTTTTTCCCAGCAGTTTTTAAGTTTTCTTGTCTGTCTCTATTCAGTGATATGTTTTAGTATTTTTGCTTCTGATTTGTGTGTGTGTGTGTGTGTGTCTGAGGATTACAACATGCACTGTTTTAATTTAGAAAGAATATGTATGCTGGGTGTGATGGTAAATGCCTGTAATCCCAAGACTAAAGAGGCTGAGCCAGGATGATCACCAGGAGTTTGAGGCCAGCCTGGGCTACCTAATGAGTTCAAGGCCAGCCTGAACTACACAGTGAGACCCAGTCTCAAAAAAAAATAAAAATAAAGAAGAATATGCTCATATACACTGCTTCATTTAAGAATATAATAGTATAATGAACAAGAATTCAACTTACAATTTTTTGATCACACAACTTAAACAATTTTTTATTACTTTATAATGGTATAAAAACAGTAAGAATTCAGTAGAAATCATACTTCAAACTTGAATTTTTAATTTTTCCCATGAGATGGACACACAGTCACCAAATAGTATCTCTGGAGTTTTGAGCAGTCACAACCTGCCACAGTTCCCAGTCAGCCCTGCCATCACACAAGTAAACAACTGATACTCTACATAGTGTACTGTGCTGCTAAAGTAGCATGTCTGGTAGTTTAAGATCACTGAAGACAATTCCAACTTATGACATTTTCAGTATACAACGGGTCTATCACATTATAAACTGAGGAGCATTTGTACCCACACATCTTTGTACTACCTTTTATGGTACTATAGTCATTCATTTTCCTTGACATGGATTATAGACCCCACAATGAAAGTTATTTTTTATTTAAAGTCAATTATCTTTTGCGAAAATAAAAAAAAAAAAAAAACCCTCTTAAGACTAAGCCAGAAAAATAAGGCTTTTTTATTTGCTCAAACATTTACTCTTTCCATGACTCTTCAATGCTTTGTATGGGTCAGTCTTTTCATCTGGTTTCATTAAAATTTTAATACTTCTAGTCCTAGAGGCCTGCTAGTAACAAATTCTCTAAGCTAAGAACATTTTTACTATACACAGAATTCCAGATTGACTTTTTCTTTCTGCCCGTGTAAGATGTACTTCAGTACTGGGTATGGAGAAGGATGCAAGTAGACCTGGCTATTCAGGACGGTAAAGCAGGAGAAGCACTTGAGCCCAGGAGTCCTACAGCCAGACCATGCCTCAAAACCAGGTAAGACAGATGAAGAATGCACTGCATTATTTTCTGGCTTGTATTGCTTCTGATAAAAGGAAAGCAATACTTCTACTTTTGGTCTTCTGTATATAATACCCTTTATTTCTCTGGCTAAGATTTCTTCTTCTTCTCACTGATTTTCATGAAAAATTATGCCTTTTTATGTTTACCCTGGTAAATTTCATCAGATGTTAGCATTTGTTGGTTTTTCTAATGATAAAACAAAAAAAAAAAATTGACATTATGTCTTCAAACAACTTTTCTTTCACTGGTCCTGCCCATTACTCTCCATCACTGTTACATCACATTCATGTTAAAAAATCCTATTACTGCCCCATCAGTCACTAAATAGGCTTCTCTTGGCATTTTGTATTTCATTCTGTGCTCTAAGTATGGATAGTTTCTATTGCTCTATCTTTAAGCTCATTGATCTTTCCTGATGTAGTGTCAAATCTGCTATTAAGCTTGTCAAGAGAATTTTTTACTTCACAAAATTCTCAGCCTATAAGTCCCACTTTGGTCTTTTAAAAAAAAAAAAATCACCCCTCCTTGCCCATATTTCCCTTTAAGTTCTTATGCATACGTAACAATAGCTATTTTAAAAAATGCTTTTGTGCATCATCTCTGCTACTTCTGCATCTCTTTTTATTGATAGACATTTCTTCTAATTATGGATTATATCCTACAGCTTCTTTGCACTGTTAATAATTTTTGGTTGGATTCTGGATATTACGACAATACGTTGCTGAACATCTTTCATTTCTTCCTTTATAACAAATTCAGTTTCTTTTGACAGACAATTAGTTTCCAGATTGTTTACTTCTTTTGAGGACTGTTTTTAGGATTTGCCATGGCAAGTCTACAGTTGTGC